AAACGCACACACTTACTACCACTCTCCATATATATATATATATATATATATATATATATATATATATATATATATATATATATATATATATATATATATATCTATTAATTCAAGTACATTTATATAGTTGGGCTTAAGCTATGTGACCATATTTTTTGCCAAGTAAGTGATCCATATTTGGTAATCCTTATTGAATATACTAGTGCTACTACTACTACTAATAATAATAAATAATAATAATTATTATAATCATCATAATAATTATAATTTTTAGCATTATTAGTTTTAGTTTTAATATATATGTGTGTGTGTGTATGTGTGTGTGTTTCATGATGGTATATATGTAATTAAAGAAATTCGAAGAATTACATGTATTTTTGATAAAATATATTGTAACTGCAATGTTGTCTTCATAGCAGCATATGATTACATCAATTGAATCAGTTCTTTTGTAAACTAGAAACTGCTTTCTGAACTGTGATTCCCTTGAATGTATATTACAGATAGAAGAATTCTATCAGGCTACAATACCGAAATATTTAAAGTTCATCATGGCAACGGTAAAATCTCAATCTATGTAATATTTTCCTAATTTATGATTTGCATATATACAAGTATCAATTTGAATGTATGAGTACTCTTCAGTTTTTTTTTTTTTTATGACAAGAGTTTACTAATTAGAAAAGGCGACGTTTCAGCTTTCCCTCCTCCTCAAGTCATCATGATATGTTGCTATCCAGATGATACATGTAGTCATAGTTCGAAGGAAACGATTTCGAAGACAGTATCAACATTATCGACGAAGTATTTGGACTCAATTTAGACCATTCCAGAAAAAGCCTATGTTCCAGAACTGGAATGAAAGCACTGATGATACATATAATTAATCAATTATAAAAATTAAGAGTGTTAAATTAATAAATAAATACTTCAAAAACTTCGCTGTAATGATCAGTTAGTATAAGACAACTTAATCCAGAATATTTCCTATATTTAAATTGCCCCGTGGAGACTATCATAAAAGCTACCCTTCTTCAAAAATATCTACATTGTTAGATACATACAACCGCTTTTATCAAATCATTGATTATAAATGACTTCAAATAAAGACAGTCATACAGAGGATCAGCCATGTCCAAGGTCGTTGACTGGCACTACCGAATAAAAAATACTTTAACGAATAAAATAAACCACATCTCTTTAAATCATTTAAAAGTAGAAACAAGTTAAATAGATATCACACGAAACGCGAAGAGAAAATAATAATATAATCAAGAAGTTAATATCCGACACTAATTTGTGGTAACGCTTAAGAATGAAGTCTCCATCAATAATAAACACATAAATATCCGTTAGTGAACTTGAGAAACCTATCGCCCTCAAAAATTTTTTTAAGACAAATACTTTTATATCTCAGCCGGGTGTAGCAATGATTGTTCAGTCAGTGAATACTGAATATTTCTATATAAAGACAGGTTTAATATTAAAAATTACGTGATTGTATTTATGCATTTTATATAATGCTTCGTAAAATATTATTTTATAGTTGGGTAATTTAAATGCAATATCTGTCCTTCTTTATGGCAGGGAATATTGGACGATTTTCTCAAAGATGAAGAAGCCACTCGAGGCCACGGTGATGTGGTTCTCGAGAAGGATGCTAATCATGGACTGAGAGTGTGAGCAACGATGAAGTCATAGAGATGATGCAAACAAGGGGGAGGCTTATACTTAACACCAGGAAGAAGCATAGGAAGTTTCTGGGACACGTAATGAGGAAGGAGGGCTTGAAAATCTGATACTCACATGTCGGATAGAGAGAAAGAGGGACAGAGAAAAGCAGCACGTAACATAATGGGCTTGAGGAAATGGATGATAGAACAGAGTCTGGCAGAAATAACAAAAAGACTGAAGTTCCTGGAATTCATATTGAGGAAGAAGGACCTGGAGAATCTGATACTCACGGGTCGAATAGAGGAAACGAGAGACAAGGGAAAACAATGCTGGGGAGGGGGTTAAGCAAGTGGTTGACAACACGTGGTTTGGGGGAGGAAGAAGTGGGAAAAAAGCTGCAATGGTTACAGGGAGGTGGAGAGCCATGATCGTCTACGTCTTGAAAAGACATGAGAGTAAAAAGCAACTGTTATGTATGATTTAATTCCAGGTTTTCATGGTTTAGTATAGTATTCAACATACTTTTTATTTTATTTTTATAATTATGTTTCATAGATTTTATAGTATTTCTTTTCAGAGATGTGTAATTATCAATATACTTATTATTATTTCGAATTATTGCTTTCTTGTTTGATGTAGATGTTATTATAAACACGACGTTTCGAGTAATTGCCGTCTGGTTCTCATCAGGTGACCATTGATTAGCTGTTGATTTTTTTGATCTGTACTGATAGTTATTGTTCATTTCTTTACAATCAATCCTTTACTAGCTGATATAGGTTGTTGAATGCTGAAATCTAAATATTTTCAACACAATTTGTGATTTCAACCCAATGTATTTTAAGCGCAATTGTACACCTTCAACTAAAGATAAAATATACTGCTAGTCATTTTAGTATAAATAGTTAACTTTTTTTTTTTACTATAAAATTGGATTACTGCTATTTTTACCATAATAAAAGTATTTTTATACTATCGTTGTGGTTTGATTCAGGTTCACGGTTTTTCCAGGGCCGGGACCCTAATAGGTGCTATCATCCAAGTTCAAATTGGACCAGACAGCAACATCAGTTAAGAGGTAGTTCTATGCTGCTCAAAGACTCCTATCTCCTGATCAGAGTCCTTGATGCCAGATGTAGTTTATCTTCATACCCAGGACTACATGATACAGGGATTAAACTCACAACATGCAGATGACAGTAAAATATGAATAAATAATCCTATACCCACTACTCTATCGTTATAAAAATGTCCCCTGACAAGTGAGTCAATTTAAAACCGTACAATCGGTGTAAAAACATGGAAGTAGATATCTGCCCTACTTTATATCAACGGCCCAGGTTAGTAGTATAATGGTATTTGTTTTTTTGCATACAATAAGACCGTTCATAGAATTTTAGAAAAAGCATACCAATGACGTTAGCCACTTAGTTCTTGCAAATGACAACGCGCGCCGATTTATACATACAGCGCACCTGCCCTCTGGTGGCCACATACAGAAGGACAACGCTCAATAACACAAATAAAAGAAAATAATGGCAGACTGGTTTATGGAATACAACAAGGTAAGCTGATGCGTTAAAATCGCTTTCACGGTCATATGAATTTATTCCCATATCTGAGAAATGTGGGAGGTGAGGAAAAAGAGTATGGACCCAATTCTTGATAGAATATTTCTTGAGGAACATCGAATCCGTACCGAACTTTGCGGTTTTAAATGCAAAATTGTCAGAATTCTCAATTGAAAGGACTCATTTAAACACACCCGATGACCTACAAAAATCCATCCGCAGCATATTCAATAGCCTCATCCACACGTAAAAAATGTCTAAAAATAACAGGAGCACTATTGATAAACAAAGGGGAAAATACTCAACAATATCAACTCTGGACACGGCCACAATGTGCTGACCTTGTTTTGAAAAATGTGTATATCACACGAGAAACATATATAAAAATCTACACATTCAGTTAAAAATAGTAAAACAAAAACCTGCTTGATGACGGATAACAGAATATCCGAAAGCACATTGAAAATTCCATAGTTTTTATAATCTTTATATGCAGAAAACTAATCATTTATAAGAAAAGAAGCGAATAAAAATCATAACCGCTATATGTTGCCAATCCTCTTTAATGAACCTCATGTACGAATATCTATCTATCTATCTATCTATCTATCTATCTATCTATCTATCTTAATATATATTACCTATCGAGGTTTCATCACATGGTCTCATTGGGGTCAACTGCGCCAGTTCATCATGATGATGCGATGTGGTGAAACCTAGGCAGGTAGTATTTATTTATTTTACTCTTGCTCTACTTCGTTTAAAAATATTTATAATAGAGTTTTAAGGTAGTGGACGATTTCTTTCGCCCTGGTCGGAGGTTTCTTGTGTTTTTATTTTTTATTTTTTTCATTTTTTTTCCATTTTTCCTCGGATGCCAATTTATTTGTAAATTGCGTTACCCAGGTTTTTCATCCACCGAGTTTAAAAAGATTTAATTTATATATATATATATATATATATATATATATATATATATATATATATAGAGAGAGAGAGAGAGAGGAGGATAGATAGATAGATAGATAGATATGCCTATAGTGTGAGAGAGACAAGGCTATGAGAGAGAGAGAGAGAGAGAGATAGAGAGAGAGAAATATATAAATATTTATCCAGAGGAGAGACAAGTCTATATATAGAGAGGAAATGTAGGGTGACACAAACAGAGATAGAGAGACAGATAAATAGATATACGTCCTTTTAGACAGAGGAGAGACAAGACTATATATATATATATATATATATATATATATATATATATATATATATATATATATATAAAGAGAGAGAGGGAGAGAAACATAGACAGAGACAGAGCGATACAGAGAGCCAGATAGATAGATAGAAAGAAAGACACAAAACATTGAAGACATTCTCAAGAAAAAATACTTCTAACTTTCTCAAAGTACATTTCTGCACCTGTAAAATCTTTAATATTCACGATTAGTACATGTCATTCGACCGTACAGTTTCTGAACATGCTGTAATCATTGCTTTTTTTCCCTGCAGCAAACTTGCTCGATGTTCGAGCTCAGCTTAATATCAGAATATTGAATTTAGTTCGACGCATACATAACAAAGCTAATCTTAGTAAATATTTATGTATTAGTTGTGCCGTGTCGAATGAGATAGAACTCAACTTCTCATCGGCTGTGGCTGGCAGCGTACCAACTAAGCAGATAGAATGGACTTCGAATACTGATTCTGTTGCCGACATGCTCACTCCACGGTGTATAATGCCGCAACTCTTTATTCATGGTTGACTACGTCGCAAATAACGGTAAATTCGTATATTTGCAGCATCTGTAATAACTTCATTGGATAAATCCCACTTTTCCTACTCTCATTCTGCGTATCTATGTACATCAAGATGTCGATAATATAATGATGCAAAAATATTTATATTGCACAGCAAATATTATTTTTCAACATTTCTCCTTGTCAAGACCGCAATACATCCGTATGACGTTGAAACATTGGTTCCCGTACAATGACCTAAGTTAAGCAATAACCCAACCTGGTAAATGCCTAGATGGATGATCGCTGGGAAATACCAGGTGATGTGAGCTTAGGAGTGAGGATGGTGTGATGGATAATGGCGAGGATATGTCAATTGGACAGCCGAGTTCCAATTCCAGTAGGATTCGTTATGTTCAATATACTTGGACAAGTTATGAATCCACCACTTATCTATACAACCATGGATTAATTAATAAGATTTTTATCACTAAATAGTTATTGTCTCAAAAATACCTGAGAATTTAAATGTTCTGTCTTTAAATAACCATCAAATTGTTTATAAGCTCTAGAAAACGAATTAATCAACCAATCAAAAAATCTTTTTCAAGGTTATTAAAACAGCGTTTATCTCTTAAAGACAGAATAATATTCAGTTTGAAGAAATGAAATCTATCTGTCAATCTATTATTTGATTCATATATCTCTCTGTCTATCCATCTATCTATCGTTCGTTTTATCTATCTATCTCTATCTATCAATCATTCGATTCATATATCTATCTATATATCTATCTATCATTCGATTTTTCTATCTATCTATCTATCTATCTATCTATTATTCCATTCATCTATTTGTCTATCATTCGATTATTCTATCTCTCTCTCTTTCTCTCTCTCTATCTATCATTCGATTCATCTATCTATCTATATATCAATCATTCGATTCATCTATTTGTCTATCATTCGATTCTTCTATCTCTCTCTCTCTCTCTATCTATCTATGTATCTATCATTCGATTCATCTACCTATCTTACATTCGATTCGTCTATCTAGTTAGCTAGCTATCATTCGATTCTTCTATCTATCTATCTATCTATCTATCTATCTATCTATCTATCTATCTGTCCATATATGTTCTTCAATAATTATAGTTTAGTACAAATAAAACTGTTATTAACAATACCTTTCTTTACAACAGATTTTTTTCTTATTGTCTAGACATTTCATTAAAACAACACAAACACAATCTGTGCCACTCTATTAATAATTCGCGCAGCTGTTTGCCTTCGACTTCAACTCATATCAAACAGACAGTTTGGCAGTGGAAGATTTGTCAGCCATGACAGATGGAGATTAAACAAACACTGTTACTCTCCTTGTCTTCTTCGCAATGAGTCTTTCTCTTTTTCGGGATTCATAAAAATTGTTTTGAATTTTTCATACCAGACATAGAAAATTAAATTTGAAGTTAAAAAAAAAAAAAGAATCTGGATATATTTGGTTTAAATTAAATATATAGGATTGTTTATTTATATTTTCTTTTCTGAATTAAATAATATATATCTCAAGTTCATAGAAATTTATTCAAATACCAACTATATATATATATATATATATATATATATATATATATATATATATATATATATATATATATATATATATATATATATATATATATATATATATATATATATATATATATATGTGTGTGTGTGTGTGTGTGTTGTGTGTATGTGTGATTTTCATACACGATAAATATATCCGTATCTTGATATATATATATGTAGTTGAATAGGTAACATTATAAAAGATGAAGACAAATGACCGATAAATATATAAAAAAATAACAAATTTGATTCTAAAATAGCAATGAATATAAAATACCCGAAACTATGCCAGAAACTCTCATGAGAAGACTAAATGATGATACGGATGATTTTATTCATAATAACGTACCAAATCATTTGAAAATGTGTTATAGATAAAACTTCACTGCCAGACGTACATATTATTTGGAAAATAAATACAGTGAATAGTTTTGTCTTTCCTATTCTTAAGAATAGACAGAGAGTATAGTTTCCTTATTTCACACTCAGCAACGAAATAAATCATATAATATTCACATATTAGTATCGTAATTTAAAATACAAACAGCGAATATGCATCTTTTCCTTTGTTTAAATTTAAAATATGTGTAACTGTTTCTTGTTTGATATTTTTATGGCTATACGCCTTTACACAACGAGTATAGCGTTACTAATGATACTTTTATCATTCTTTTTTTAAAATTTGTAACTTATTTAACAAAAAAGATGCGATAAAGAGATAGAAGAAAAGAGGTTAGTCTATTGTAATTTGGCCTCTCAGAAAATGAACTCGCATGATACACGAGATACATGATAAAATCATTTTTATATTTGAAATTTTAGGGGTCAGACGATACACGCGATTGCGCGTTTCACGAGGAGACACGGTATCTGTCTTTTGTTTCTAAATATTTTTGGAAGGTATATTCGTCTATTGCGCCTTTGGATATCGGAGTCATATATTCCGTCTGTTAAACACTACCTACATAATTTTATTTTTTAACCTTTACTTGATTTTGGTTAATCCTATTCGTACTCCAAACCGTCGGCTCTTCCCTTTGTTGTCAATTATGCATTCCTTTTTCTTTAAATTATTGTTTATAATAAGATTCTAATATGTGAATATTACATGCAATATTATTGGATAGAGTTAAGTAAATCATCGGTTTTATCAAAATCATGTTTATTTTAAATACAGTATTTGATTACAGTAAATTGATATATAGTTTGCTCAATGCTGTAGCCAGGACCAAGAGTACATACGCTAATTTTATGTCTCGTGTATGATGCGACCCTCTTAAAATTAGCTTCAAAATTATGTTTTAAAAGACGCATGGTATGCAAGTATATACAGTAGTTAACTTTCATGTAATATCGGTCATGGCAGTGAAGGCTGGACAATCTTCTCACAGATGAAGAATTAACGTGAGGCAGAAACAGAAGTCTGGTTGTAAGAAAGAATGACAGGAATACAACAAACTCAGCAACGATGAATTCTTAACGAAAATGGAAACATAAAAACCTGGAAGTTGTGGCGAGCCATGACCGCCAAATCCTAATGGAATATTAAAGAATATAAAGAATAAGCGCATTATAATCTTCCTCAAGTTACAGTTTCAGATTCAAATAAGCTTAGTCAATATCCGTACAAGCGACAGCGTTTCCAATATTTTATTCTATCCTTTAAAAGCAAATATAAAAAACGAAGAGCAAAGCTATTTTTTTTTATTTCTCTCTTTTTTGTTCGACTGTCTTTAAGACCTGCTACTTCCCATGACCAGATGACCCGAAATAAACTTTCTGATCGCTAAATGTCTGTCTTTTGCAAATATTCTTCTTCTATGCGCCCTGCTCGTTGAAAATATTGGTGATCATGGCTCTCCAATATTTCCTGTCTTTTGTAACTTTTAGTAAATATCGGTTATTTTTATCTCTCGTAAACTCTGTTCTGTCATCCATTTCCACAAGCTCGATAGTTAACTTTTCCTCTGTTCCTCTTCAATATCACCTTTGAGTGTCAAATTTTCCAATAACTCTTTCCTCATTATCAATATAAATTTCAACTGTCGCTTTCTGATGTTATCTACAAACGTCCTTTTTTTTCCATTTTCTTTAAAATTTTGTCGTTGGACGAATGTTCAGTAAATATTATTTTCTTTATTTTTCTGCAGAATCATATTTCCATCGCCTAAAGTTTCTAATTAATCTGTGAGGAGATTGCCCCTGCATTCACTGCAAAATAGAAGGACATATATTGCATAAAAGTCCGGTAATTTTAATTTGTTTCTAACGAAAATTTCCTGTTTCTTAATACTTTTCTTAGCTTTTGTGAAGTATTTTTCGCTATCCCAATGCACCCTCAAATTTCAGTGTCGCACTTTCCGCCCACTCTTAAAAAAAAACAAAAAAAAACTTCCTATATATTTAAAATGTACTTGTTTGAATTTAGTGTCCCTAATTTGTAATTTCCATGTTAAGATTTCATTTACAAGCAACCATGGATTTTGTTTTCGTACAATTGATGTTTAATCTTTTTTTCAGCTTTTCTACATTGTCTTTTACAGGAGTTCTTTGTAGTAGTTTGTTCTCTGTGTGTACTGCCAACATTGCGTTATTTGCATATCGTATCTTTTTAAGATTGTAGTCACAAAAAATAATCCTCGTAGGACTCTCGAATTCATTCAAAATCGAGTCACGGTATATAAAACCTGTTACTCTGTGTATTATTGGAACAATATATTTTATTTCATAAAGCAAGTCTATTCTATAACCGTCGCTGCGAAATTTTATCCAAATTGAAGTGTATACAATTTCACCTCATGTAAGCCGTGAGTTTTTATATTTAAGATTAAGGTATTATGTAATAAGGCTAGGTATATATACTGATTGTCTTCCATATATAAGGAATATATATTCCATATATATTTATATATTACGTATCATGTTTGAAATGTTTTTGGTGTCATTATTAGAGAAGCAAACATGGTAGTTCGACATTTTTTCATTCCAACATCGACTTGGAAATCGTTGAGTGTATTCTGAAAAAAAATTAAATCTTGTGAAATATCGCTTTCCTAAAATACGATCACTGTAATGAATGGCGCGGTGAAAATGTTTCTTCTTCAAGGAGAAACATCTGTTGAATCTTACAAAAGAGAAAACATTGAAAGAAAAAGAAAATTACAGTTTATTTACTCTTGTATAATATTTTCAGTAGAGTTTCTTAACTATGGAATATTGTCGAGTTATGTTCAATGTTCACATCTTTTTTACACGTGGCATAACGAAAGCAAAACAGATAACCTAAGAACCCGTTTTAAGAATATGGCAATATTAATTTACATTAAGCATTACTTATGAAAAGACAAATTAGACAAATACTCTTAGGAAGTCAGACAACGGAAAATTACGTTTTCTTTCAAACAAGCAATATGGCTTTCGTTTGACTAATTCAACTGCTAATATGTTAACAATTATTATTGAAAGAGTTTGTCAGACATTAGGTTAGAATAATATTGCTATAGATATCATATTGTTTGACAAAGGCATACTGGTCTTCTTCCCAAAGTATTACATGATCTAATTAATACGTAATTCGTTATGCATCTCACCTTGTAGGATCTTCTTTCAGACAAACAATATAGCTTTTGTTTCTCTAGTTCAACTGATGATGCATTGACGATTATATCTGAAAGAGTCTATCAAGCTTTAGATAAGAAGGTTCAAGCTCGGGTTACTGCTATATAAACCAATTGTTTTCACAGATAAAAATCCAAAGGTTTAACGTCGAGGGAACGCTATGACACCGGTCCTCCTGTACCTATCCATTTTTATAGTGAATGTCAACCATTGCATCGCAAATAATGTGACTAAAATACCCTGGAACCTCACTGTGCATGAACCACATCCGTCTTCGTATTATCATGGGTAAATCCTCTAGAAGAACTGGAAACTTGTTCGAAATAAGTTCCCTGTAGTCAACTTCTATAAGATTTGCTGGGAGAGAAAAAAAAACAGAGAGTTTCATACAATTCCACTATACACATTAAGTGTAGACTGATGCTGGTGTCGAGCCTGTAAAATATCAAGGGGATGGTATCAGCCCAGAAATGTTGGTGGTGTAAGTTTGTTATTCCATCTCTTCTAAATGTTGCCTCATCCGTAAACAAGACTGAAGAGACAAAAAAAAAAAATTAAAAATAAAGATCGACAGTTCGTGGAATAAAACCGGCAGGCCAATGCAGGCCAAACAAGGCGCTAACATTATCTAGCTACCAAATGCTTTAATTTTAGATAGAATACCGAGTCTCAAAGAATCTTTACTTAATTTGACTTGATCAACTTTTTTTGGTCTGCCTCTTTTCTGTGCAGTTGAAATTACACTAGTGGTAGCAAACGTATTTTTGTTATTTGAACTCTATTTCTGGAAAATGCTAACCGCAGTGATATTTCGGTTTAGGTCACCTTCTCATTCAAATTCACAACCTTAAACGTTGATTTAGCAGCCATGATTAATATTCAACTTCCATTACTTTCCACATCAACTTATACTCATTTTAATAATATAGAAAATTTCCTACTAAGACATTTTCATATTATAATGTCATTTACCTTCTCAGATTTTCCAGT